CTTTTGAAGACCCCTGTGCAGCTCCGTGAGCCCTGGAAGCATGGAAAAAGCATGCAGAAAAAAATCCTCCCATGCTAGATAGAATGATTATCTACTGTTATATCCCTACATAATAATCAATATATATTTTATATTATATTTAAGGGTGTCCTCCTGCAGGTGCCCAGTTTGAAACCCACCTCTGTTTTACAAGCCTGGAGCAAAGTCTGGCTCTGCCCCGTGTTGGCTTCAACAAACTTCAAGCGACTGCCCACGTTGGAGCTTGACTGCAGCATCTTAAGCACATACTTAATTTAAGATATTAAATAAGCATGAAAGAGTGAGACATAAGAAAGAGCAAGATGATTTTCCCAGCTCCCCAGATGCTTCAGGGATTGATGGCAGAGCAACCCAGGATGCGGGACCGGGCACCGTTTCGCCGGGATCAGCGTTTTATCCCAGGTGGGGATCCGGGAATGCGGCACCGGGAGTAGCAGCGGAGCGGCCGGGGCCATCCCTACCTTTCGCAGTCGGGAAACGAGGTGGCGTCCGCCCGGCGGGTCGTCACCGCATAACCCAGGGCTTCGCAAAGCAGCACGGCCGCCCGCGGCTCTGCAGCGGAGGTGGGGACAGCAAAGGGGAAAGGAGAGAAAAGGGAAAAAAATTAAAAAAACAACAATTATCCGGGGGCTCCGGGCGAGCAGCGTCGCGGTGCCAGGCACCATACGGCAGCGGGCGCTCAATGCTGCCATTGTGCCCCGGCCGCGCTGCCAGCCGGGGGAATTTCTTTTCTGGGAATGGGATGAGTCCCAGGGGGCTTTAGCTGCAGGCAAGGGGGGCTGGGGTGGGAGCGTTGGAAAAATGACAGTAAAGGGCAAAATAAAGGTGGAAAAGCTGCAGCTTTGCAACGGCCGACGCGATGCAACGCGCGAGCTCCTGCACGGCTGTAATAACCACGGTAGCACCCAAATCCAGGGAGCGCTGCGGGTGCAATCGGAGGCTTTCCCATAGGATTTGCTCCCCCATCACCTGCTCTCCTTTGCTTTCCATGATAGCAGGAAAACCTCCGGCAGCGGGAGCCCTGGTGCTTTAAAGGAAGAGCTTTGCTGCACCGAGCGCTTCGCCACGGAGGGGAAAACACGAGCGCTTTGCAAACTGCTCCCAGCTCCCACGTCCTAAAAGCCGGAACAAACATCCCGGGAAGCCGAGGGCAGAGAGGAGGCGCCAGGAGGGGACCGTGTCCCCGGGCTCCGCTCGTACCAGGCTCAGCCACGGCGGATGCGGCGCTCACGGGCTCGTACCAGCCAAGCAGAGGAAGGGGCCTGCACGGGACCCCAGGGGTAAAAGCTGCAGGAAAAAGCTGCATTTTGGAGCCATTCGCACCAAGCAAATGCTTATTCCATCCCCTGTGCTGTCGCAGCAGCCCTGTGGGCTATTGGTGCCTCAGCAGAGCGGCCGAGGAGGAATTCCGATCCCTGCATCCCTCTCCGGGATGGGGAGATGCCAATTGACCTCCCCCTGTTTTCTCCAGGCTGGGGGAGCATCACTCAGCGCGCAAACACACGTGGGCATTTGGGTCTCCTGCCTGCGGGGGCAAACTAATACTCTGCATGAGGGGGAGAAAATACGAAAATTAAAAATGAAAAACAATAAATTTTCCCCCAGCGACCCCGTTTCCCATTGACGGCACTATCCTAAAACCGATCCCTGTGGGGAGGGAGCCGGGAGCTGCAGGGAATGCAGGAACACGGACACGGCACAAGCGTCCCCAGTGCTCGAAGCCGCAATAACCCGGGAGGTGACGATCCATGATTTATTGGCAGGCGGGATTGCAATCCCGCGGCTCAAATACTCGGCACAAATGACGACGATTCCCAATTGGTGACCAGGTTTTATTGCAATATTGACCGGAGCCATCTGTTGTTGCAACTGCTCATCCCACTGAACTGCCTCTCTGAAGAGCCCTAGGTGAACGCGAGGAGCTCGGTGCAGCCAAGACGGCCTCGCGGGGCCTTTTTTCATGGATTAAACATAACAGCACGTAGGCTGCTTTAGCAACAGCCTTACCCGGCACGGACACGGCCTTTGAGACCTTTGTGCTCTCCGTGCTGGGGAAAAAGGGCCCTTCTCTAAGCAGAGACCAGGAGCAAGAAAACGGAGGCTATTTCCAGCCTCCCCTCCGAGGACGCAGCGGTTTCGCTGCGAAGCCGCGGGAGGATTTTTAATTGCTGCTCGTTTTAGCCGCGAGGTCCCCGCGGTGGCCGAGGGGGCGGTGGGTGCGACGGGCCCTGATTAAGCAGCGGGATCCCGTTCGCTCCGCGCGTTTCGGGGCATCTGCCGAGCGCCGGCAGCAAACGGGGCACCCAGTTATTCACTGCGATGGATGTGGCCCATGGTGACCCCTCGGCATCGCCCAAACCGGAGCTGGAATCGGGACGCGCCGGCTGCTCCGGGATGCTCCGTGCGGATCCAGGCGCTGGGGCAGCAAAACGTCTGCAAAGGGCTGAAATGCACCCGAATTTACATATCGGTTCTGTGCAATGGAGAACACGCGATGGATAAATTTTGCCTAATGTTTATCTAGCCAACCTGAGGCATTTAATGAAGGAATAACACCCTTTGCAGGGCCCCAGGGACAGGCCCTGTCCTTCGCTAGGATGTACGGATGGGAGGTGGATGGAAATGGATGCATTTTCATTACGGAGTGACATGCTCAGCCCCATCCTGCCTGGAAAACCCGGCTACGAAGCAGGAGGATCCCACACTCACACACTGCATGGAGAAATTCCTTGCGGATGCTTCCCAACGCGGAGATCTCCCGGTGCCGCCAGCAAGATACACGACAGCAAAGAGCTGCCAAGAGGCGTCTGGAGAAGCTCTGCCTTCCCTGGAGAGCAGGATGCTGTGGAAAAACCCTGTTTTGCCTTGTAAAAAAATCAATCGGCGTCTGATTGAGCGGCAGAGCAGCAGCCTGTGGCCTCCCTGCCGTCCCCCTGCTCCTCGCCAGCCAACAGCAATTGCCGGGAGCTCTCACGCAATCACGGGAGATGGTCCGAGATAGCAACTTGTTTCTGTCTAGAATAGGAAGATGGGAAGGGTTTGTTGGTGCGAATGCGGTGAGAAAGGCAGATCTGCCCCCTCGGCTGGTCTCTGCAATAGAAACACCTCTCAGCAAGTTGTTTTCCCTGCCAAAATGGGGTGGGTTTGCAAGAAAGCGGCCAAGCTTTTGGTTCAAACCAACACCTGCAGTCGCACACCTTCCCGATTCAGCAAAATACACTCAAAACCCATGAACAAATAGGGGCAAATTGATCATTTACCCCCATTTCAGAGTGAGAAGTGCAGCCAGCACCTGGCAGAGCAACATCTGAGGGCCAGAGGAAAAGAGGCTCCACGACATCCCTGGTATCATCCACTCCGGGTCAAGCCTCAGCATTCCCTGCCCTGGAACCACTCGTGCAGGAGGGGTGTGGAGAAAGGCTCGGAACGGGGGGAAAAACAGAGGGATGTTGAGGAGAGCCGGGACAGGTGCTCCGAGAGCAGCCGTGGGGTAAAACCATCGCATCCAGCCCTGGGCACGGGCTGTGTGGCCACCACCATCCCTGCAGCCGTCCCTTCCTTTGCAATCGAGATCCCTCGGCCAAAAACCCGCCGCTTCCAGCACCCC